GCATCGTGAGGCTCTTAGTCTCGTGGTGAGGAAGGAAGACGACCTGCAAATCATGTTGGGTTGTGTTGATATCAAAGAAGAAGGGTTACTTGTGTGGGTGCTTGCGTGGTTAATTGACGCCAAAGGAGCTGAAGGAAGAGAAGAAGTCGAAGAAGGAGGCTAGGTTTTGTGCTAAAATAAATCGAACTACTGGGAGAGGAGTGATGCCTTTGCCGATCGAATGAATTAAGAGGAGAGGGAGTTCTTGTGCTTGAGAGCAGAGAGGAGGAGGTGTGCAGGAGAAGAGCCTACACACGCAGTAACACCCGATCCTGAGCTACCGAGCGAAGGAGAAGAAAGGAGGAGGAAGTGTCTGTGGGCCAAAGTTAAGGTGAGTTTTCAGTATATTAATTAAATTATTTAATTGAAAATCATATATATATTTAAGTTTTTTTTGTTAAATGTTAAAATTTAAGTGCATTGATTTCAGGCTACAAAAGTCTCACTTTTAGATGAAGAAAAGTTGGCGACAACAGGATATGTTAGAATTTTATTTCCAAAAGTATTTTGTATAATATAGTAATATTTATTATTAATATTTATGTAATGATTAAACTTAAAATTTAGGTATTTAAAATCTCTAGATAAAATAATGTAATACAACAATAAGTAATAATTAAATTAAAATTAAATTAAATAAATAAATTATTGAATATTTTGTATTTTATTGGTGTTAATTTGAAAGAATTGGTACAAGTTCAAGAGCAAGAAAAAATCTTTTAAAAGCAAGGTGAGTACTTATACTTTTTTCTATGTTTGATTCACTCTATGACTTGCTTAGATAGATTTTACCGACTCTTCAATTCATTTTGATCATATCGAGCGTTACTGATATTTGCATGTTTTTCACATGTATAGTCCAGGTTATTGAATGATATGATAAGAATGAGATTTACTATTTTGATTGCTTGCATATGTATGTTTGGATATGATGGGTCACTTCGTGTGGTCCTAGTTGGGGAAAGTTAAGGTATTTGTGCACGTAAATGGAAAAGTTTATTGATATTGATGAATCTTAAGTGATATAATTTTTAGACTGTTCTTTTGTGACGGTTGTTTACATATTAAAAAAAATATTGATATGTAATCAATATAGTATTTCACGGTGTGTTTAAAATCATCTTGAACGATCATGTTAGATAGTACAATTTGTCAATATTTATACACAGTTTAATTGACATGCATATTGTCTACTTTTTTATTCAATTATTATAGTTTAGGAGTATGAGTGTTCATTATCATTGTTTACCTAACTGTTGTTTTCCCTAACTTTTTAGGTTTAATTAATTTTCTAAAAAATGAATGATAGATAAGAAAATCTTAATAGATTACATGGACAATAAAAAATAAGGTAAAATTTAATTGTTTTACTTTAATTCATTTTTCTTAGTGGCTCTTTCATTTATTAAATTGTTAGTTAAAGAATATTTTTTTTTCGGTCGTCCGACCATCTCTTCCTGCCTTGATTAATTTCAATCCTCTGGCTGCGTCGTGACAAATCTATTCTTCTCTTTCTCACACACCCAAGCTTTAGTTTTCTGCTTTCACTTGTTCTCTCCTTTGTTACAACATCTGAGCAGAAACATTGGAGACATTCATCTCTTAATTAAAAGATCATTGAAATAGTTTTCCTTGACGTTTCAAAATTTTCCTTTTATTTATATATTTTATTTTATTTTATTATTATTTTTTTGTTATTAACACTTTCATTGTCGGGTTTTAAGCCTCAGATGCGAAAAGTGGAGGGTTGCTTTAGGTAGTCGATAACCAGCATTAGATTTTTGTTGAGAAATCATGACATGAAACTTTTAAATCCTTATGTAAATGTCGGGTGTCCCTTAGAAGTGACGAGTTGTATGACCTGAATACAGTGAAAAATGTGCAATAGTTGTTACATCAGCACTCTGGTGTAGTGTCAAATAAGCAAAACTTTCACATTACGGATTGATATAGGCAAAGAAGTTGGTCCATGAAACTAATATTATGATAAAATCTTGGAATATATGTACTCTCATATGTAAATTAATAAAATTAGTTGATATTTTGGTTCATGAGGAGATAAATATCTTATATATTGAAGAAACTAAATGAGTTGGAGAAAAGACTAAGGAGAATGATAACTTAGGTTTTAAACTTTGATATGCAAATATGTGTCACACTAGAAATGGTGTATGTGTAATTATAAATAAGAGTTTAAAAGAAAATATTGTAAAAATTAATAAAATTATAGATAAAATTATAACCCTATAAGTTATTGTTGATACTAAGATTTTAATGTTTAAGTGTTTATGCTCTTCTAGTAGCTTTAGATATAAGTTTAAAAGAAAAATTCTAGAATGACTTAGAAGAATTAATACAAATGATACCCTGGAAGAAAAAATTTTTATTGGATGAGATTTAAATGGACATGTTGGTAGAATTGTAGAAGATTTTAAAAAGTCATGGTGACTACGGTTTTAGAGTGATTAATGAAGAAGGTAGAATCATATTAAATTTCATTGTTGCGTATGATTTTGTTATTGCTAATATTTTATTTAAGAAAAAAAGATGAATATATTATTACTTATAAGAATGAATCTAATAAAACACATTAATTATTCTCTTATGTGAAAAAGTTATTGTTGATAATGTAAAAATTATAAGGTCATTCCAAGTGAAAATTTAAGCATTTAACATTGATTATTAGTTTTGAAATTTAATATGAGTTATAAGAAAAAAATATAATAAAACATTGCCATAGAATTAGATGGGGACACCTAAAAAACAAATAAAATTATTTTTATAAGTAAACTTTAATATTTGAAGATTTGGGATGTCGATGAAGAAGCTTTATGTGGGATGAAGTAACAAACAATATTAAACAAGTGACAAAAGATGTACATGGAGAATCAAAATGAAACATTTTTATAAATAAGAATAATTTGTGCTGGAATAATAAGGTGCAAAAAATGATAAAATATAAAAAATTGTATTATAAAAATTAGTTTAAATGGAAAAGCTTAGAGAACGGGAAAAATTTATGGTGGTCCGCAAAGAGTCTAAGTGAACAACTTGCGACGCTAAAAATTCTACTTTTAGTATTCTTTTCAATAAAATAGATACTAAAGTGAGTGAAAAATATATGTATAATCTGGTTAAACAAAGAGAAAAGAAAAGTGAAGATTTATTTTAAATAAAATGTATTAAGGATGAAAATCAAAAAGCGTTTTTCTTAGAGGAATATTTTTAACAAAGATGGGTGAGCTTTTTTGATAAACTTTTCAATCAAGTTTCTAAAAATACGATCAATTTTAGTTATCTTAATATTATTAATAATAATAAAATATTTATTTTTACTGTCGCATTGGTAGACAATAAGTTGATGAGGTTTTAAAGAAAATCAAGGGTGAAAAATCAGTAGGACCGGATGATATCTCCATTCAAGTGTGAGAATATTTAGGAGATTTGAGAGTTTCATGACTTACTAAACTTTATTTTAAGAACTGAAAAGATGCATGATGAGTGGAGGAAGAGTATTTTTTGTCCCTATTTTTAAGAATAAAGGGATGCACATGAGTATGAAAATTATAGAGGAATTAAGTTGATGTTTCATACTTTAATATTTTGGGAGAGGGTAATTGAGTATAAGTTAAGACGTGATACAATGATTTCTTATAATCAATTTGGATTTATGTTGAGCAGGTCTACTATGGAAGCTTTAGTCTTATTGAGTGGTTTGACGGAGAAGTGCGGAGAGTATAAGGATGATCTACATATGATTCTTATTGATTAAAAAAAACTTACGATAAGGTTTCAAGAGAAGTTCTTTGGAAAGTTCTAGAGAAGAAACATGTTGATATGCTTATATTCAAGTCATTAAAAATATGTATATTAGAGCTGTTACTTGTGTTCAACAGAAGGAGGATTGACGAAGTATTTTCTTATTTCAGTTGGATTACATAAGGGATCAACTTTAAACCCATATATTTTTGCTTTAGTTATGAGTCTTCTCACTTGAGATTTACAGAAGGATGTACATTGGTGTATGCTTTTCGCTAATGGTATACTTCTTGTGGATAAGACTAGAGAAAGAGTTTAGGAAAAACTTGAATTGTGTAGGTCTACATTGGAGTCTAATGGCCTTTGTTTGGGTAAATAAAAAATTGACTACATGAATTGTAATTTTAGTATATAGTAGCTTTAGTGGCAGAGCTGTAACTATGGGTGATCAAATCATTAAAAGGTGTAAACTTTTTAGATATCTTGGGTCTATTCTTCAATGTGATGGTGATATAAATGGAGATGTTATTAGTAGAATTCATGTTGTTTGGTTGAAGTGGAGAAATGCATTGGGACTATTGTGTGCTAGAAAAGTAGTGCTTAGACTTGAGAAAAATTTTATAAAATGGTGGTGAGACATATAATGCTCTATGGCGTAGAATGTTGGCCTTTAAAAGAAAAACACAAAACATAATTAAGTGTTGCTGTGATATGACTTCTTAGTTAAATGAGTGGCTTGACACTTAGAGACAAAATGTGAAATGAACATATCTGTGATAGAGTTGGTGTAGTTCTAGTGGCAGACAAAATTAGAGAGGGTTGTCACATTAAACATCAACCATTTGATGATCCGGTCAGAAGAGTAAATGTTTTAGATTTGACTTATGTTAAGAAAGACAGAGGTAGACCTAAAAAGACTTGGGGTATTGTATAAAAAATGATCTTAATCTATTAGAATTAAATGAAAATATGTCACTCAATAGGACACAATGATGAAGAAGGATTCATGTAGCCGACCCCACTTAGTAGGGTAAAGACTTGTTGTTGTATGATTACTTCTATTGTTATTATTATTTTAATAATAATAATACTACTAATAATAATAATAATTGTTATTATTACTATTATTATTATGTACTTAGCTATTACGTTCAATGCATGCTACATAGGTAGGCTGATGTTTCCTTTTTGCTCCTCTTAAGGGTTGTTGCAGAAGGTTCTCGATCCACCAGATCCTAAAACAGTTGAAGATGCTATTAGTTTGCTTGTTCATATTCATGCACTTGAAAAAATCCAGTCTCATAGGTCTCGCTTTGAAGCAACATTCTATGGGCGATTGCTTGATAGCTTGCCATTGTCTTTTGATGCCTCTCTGCTTGCTCTCAAGTTTGGCGAGATTGGATTCGTAAGAGAAGGAATCTTGATCAGTATTTTAATGGATATCCAGCCTCTTCCGACAACCTTTTGGACAACAAATTTTGGTATACGATCCTCAGTTTAAGTGGTTGGAGATTTCTCGATTATATTTCATTATTTAATTATTTTGTGCCTGCTACAGTGTACAGAGTATGTTAATAGTTACTTTGCGGGCATGAACAGTACCTTTCTTCAAAATGGAAAGAAAGAGTTATTGTTTGCGGCAAACTTGTGTGCCTACCAGTTTTGGCAGCGTGTTTTCAAGGTACATAAGCCTGAGTGGGTGGTGGCTTTCGTTGTTTGTATGCTGTTTCAAGCTTTAGTTGAGCATTTGGATTTTGAAGTTCATGCATTGACAAAGAATCCTATTGACTGAATCCCTTTTTTTTTAATGCCACCAATCTGGTATTTTTGAGATAGTTTGCTAATCTAATTTAAAGTCTTAATTTCATAGTGTACTTTATGATGAAAAATATATAGCCAATCAGCTGCTTCATAAACATGCCAAATTTCAGTCCTAAACCTTTTTTATTGGAGGCCAGTCCTAATCATCAGGCTACAGAGGCTGAACCCAATAAGACATGCTTTGCATAAATGGAGGTGGAAAATTGTATTTTAGTTTTACTATGTGTGTATGCTATTGCTTATCCTTCAATTTTCTACCTTGTGCTGAAACCTCCACTATCTCTCCCTCATCTTTTTATTAGGATAGGCAGAAAACTATTTTAAAGCAGTCTGTCAATCTGATATAAAACAAGAAAAATTCCGAACATAGCATGTTAACCATTTAAGGTGAACTTTGCAAGTATATTTCTTTGTATTCGCTGCATTTGTCCTTCTGCTTTTTTTTCTTTTTGTTATTTTTTATCATTAATTTTGTTTTTCTATCCCTTAGGATAAATTTCGACTAGAACGACTAAGGCAAGTTGTCAATATTGATGATCTCAAAACATCAAGAACTATAATCTCCAAACTTGAAGAGGAATGGTGCTTGTTTCACAATCTTTCGTCGGGGTCACTGCATAATATCTCTGAGATTTGTAAGTGCCTTGATTTGACAATTAGTTTTAAGTATTTTTGTATTTTTTATTTCTTTATTGTGTTGCACCTCTATGCATGTGTGGATATGTTTGTGTTAGCTTATGGCTAAAACCTGGCTACACGTTCATTTCACTAACCTATATTTGTATTTTCTTCAGATGATGATATAATTAATGGTTTGCACCGTTTCCGGCCAGAATTTTTTATAAGCAATGAATTTCCAACTTATCTCGAACCTTACACATTTAAGCATATTTGCCTTCTGCAATCCAAGCCTTCTGAGGATGGTGATGGCCCTGTATTGAACGAGACGTCTGATTCTTATGCTAATGAAAATAGCAACTCTTCTGATGCAATGAGATGTCTTGCTGTACCTTTTGTCGCTCCAGGGGACTTTCAATCAGCAACAGTCGCTGAGAAGTTCAGGGACCTAATAAAAGAGGTATAACTCAGGTTTTTAAAGTTTTTGTTTTTGCAATATGAACTTTGCTGCGCGCTTTCATTTTTTTTTTCCTTTTTAAAGATAAAAATGCAGTATATAGATGATACGATTGAGTATCACGGTGAAACTGTTGGTGGTGTCACAAAATCAACAGAAGCAACTATGTGCAAATTCTTTCTCAATGGAGGATGCAACCGAGGGGATGAATGCTATTACTCTCATTCGCTTCAGGCCAAAAAACCTGTATGCAATTTTTTTCTTACATTTCAGGTACAAAGCATTCTTAGACTTTTTCTTTTTCTTTTGTTGGCCCATCTGCCCTTTTCTATGTGAACCTCGCTTTCTGTTTTGATGATTTGAAAAAAATTCTTTCAACATTCTGAAACCTGGAACATTCTTGTGCATTGATGATTTTTGTTATCTCTAGCAAAAGCTAGTTCATTTATCATGGGAATATTTGTCATAGATTTGCTTTTGCATACCACTGTTTTGGAAGTTACTGATAGGCACAACATGTATGACCATCTGGTATGGTTTAATGTAACTGTAAACATTACTAGAATAATATTATTCACTATTGCAACTTGCATGCATACATCCGAGTAGGCCAATTGTCTGGCTCTATGTATCCGAATATGCAATTTTACATAAGCATTTATACATAATAATTACATATATATATATATATATAGTTCAAATCTCTCATTATAATACCGGTTTTCTTTCCCAGAGCACCAAACCGGGTGCAATCAACTTTTAGCTTCCCCGTTCTCAATCTTCTGCCTTGTGAAAAGCCAATAAATCTAATAGTTATGATATGTACTTGTCGAACTATTTCTCATATTATTTGTATCGTTAGTTGTAGGGGCATGGTGGCGTTGGTTATTTCTTTGGAGCTTGACTTTGGATGTACTTTTATAGATGATCCCGGGAGAATTTGTTTTGCTGCTTTTTTTTCACTAGGAAAACTGAAAAGTTGTAACCATCAACTAGTAAGCTCCTAACTGGAACAACCAAATAAGAATATTGGTTGGCCATGGCTGAATGGGAAGAATCACTTGAACATGTATGTACCTATAACCTTGTATGAGATAGTGATTTTTTCTGATATATTTTTTGTGGTTACTCATGTAAGTGAAGGAGGTTGCATTAAAGTCTAATTTAAGATGCTTTTTGTAGTTCCTTGAGTTTAAACTCAAGGTAGTTATTTTGGGATGAAGATTGTTGGTGAGCGGTAAGATAATTGTCTAGAGCCTGCGAGAATTCCTCCGCTGAGGGTGAAGGTGAGGGAACTTTTTTAATTTTTTCATATCTGATCGAGTTCTTGATAATAATGTATATAGATGTAAGAGACTCATCCACCACATCATATTCTTATCTGCTATGTATGATTAAGTGGCTCTGTGGAAACTAGTGATGATATAGATTTTTGTACACCTATATTATCTGTGGCATTTTTTATCTGTGGCATTTTTGCTAACCTTTTTTCTGCTCTAGCATAATGCACTTTAGACGGTTTGAAACATATTAAGTCGTAGACTATTTCAAATATAATGAATTTTTCATTTAATTGGAGTTGAATTCTGCATTATGGAATATTTTTCTTATGGAGAATGCAAACATTAAGTATTTTGATTTCGTTATGTATGTTGATTTATGTATTATTGATTCCCACTGATTTGTTTTTAACAACAGGGATGTCGTTATGGCAATTCTTGTTTCTTTTTGCATGATTATGGCTCTAGGATTTTGTCTGCTACTCCACCCAATAGCTGTTTTCAAGAAGATGAAGTTACGACTGGTTATTCTTTTCTTCAACTTCTGCCTTCAACTGTTGATGGTTGTGTGCTTGTGCTTAATGATAAAAATTTGCATTTTACACCAAATCTTTCGCAATGCCTAAGTCCGAAAAAGATATATGCTACAACAAGACATCAAGATTCTTCATGCATCAATGCTTTTCCAACTGGTGTCAGGGTACTATGGAATGTCATACGTCCATCTCAAATTATTATTGGAGCTAAAGGAGATACATTTATCCCTTGGAAAGAAATCCATTCAGTCTTATGGTTTGTTGATTATGAGGCTGAGCATTCAGATATTCTTGAATTGCAGAACTTCTTAGAGTTTCTTGCTGTTCGAATTTTGGCTGATAGCTTGACCAAACTTCGGCCAATTATCATAATGAACAACATCAGGTTTGCTCAGTGTCAGGTACTATTGCAGGCTTTATAGTTTTGTTGAGGACTAAGGATGTTAAACATCCATTAGTGTCAGTTTTTATTCTTATCCTCTCTACCTAGATATTAATAACATGCAATGCAAAGTTCATCATTCATTTTAGATGTGTACACTGCAGAATAATGAACAAATATGCTTTAACATCATTTTTCTGGGGAGCAAAGTGACAAAATAGCCTCTTGACCGTTTACATTGGCCCATTTTAGTCGCAGAGTATAAAATGGTCAAATTAATCCATAAACTTTAATTTCAGGCTGAAATAGTCCTCTTTGTAGACTATTTTACTATTTCAGCCCATATTGAAAAATTTTTAGGACTAACTTGACACTTTACACACCATGAAATTAAAATGACTCCCTGCAAAGAGTGAGAGAATTATTTTGACACTTTTCTCTTTTTTTGGGAATGCAATTAAATGATATTCATAAATGTTTGTTTTCTTTTTGGTTTGATAAGCTGATAGTTCTTGTAATTAGGGTAAGTTCTCACTATGTGAAATTAGGTTTTTGAAAGTGCCAATTGAAATTTTTAAGTTTAATCAAAATTAATGCTAGACAAAATGTCTCATTATATTAAAAAATTACAACAGAGGGTTTTTTTTTTCTTTTTTGTGAGAGCAGCAAGATAAAATACAACTAAGAAAATTTATCAAATGTTCTTTTAATAGATGGCCACAAATAATTTTATTGATACAATCATACAAAACTTTCTATGTACTGGAAAGATGGTAACAATCACGGTCAAAGACTTAACTTTAATACTTTTCACTATGTCAAGTGTTATGGTAGAAAGTTAGTTATATAGAATTGGTTAGGCAAAAGAAACGAAATGTTTAGATTTCAATGGAGAGTATTAAACCTGTACATATCAGGATATTGTTTAAATATAAAAGAGATAATGAAAGATGAAAAAGTCTATTTTAGAATTAACTAAATGAACCCTCTAATTTTAATAATGTGGTGAAATCTAATAGAAATTATTAAGTACCCAATTCATTGATACTATATCCTAAGATGCATATAAAAGAAAGTTTTAGGTCCATACTATTTGCCTATTGAGATAATAGTAGAATAAAAGAATACAATGAATTTTAATTTCTAAGGACTATTTATTTGGTTGTTAAATAATTGTGTTTTATTGCATGGATTCAGGATCCATATTTATTAATAACTTATCTGTTTTAATACATTAATATCATAAATAAACCTAAAAATATTTATTTAATAGAAAAACTAGATTAGAGTTATAGGTTGGCGACGTCATGATGGCATTAGGAGTTGGTTATGTTGTTCGTGGATGACAATAATGTTGGTGGCAAGTGTAAACCCGGGTGACATGAATTGTATAGAATTGTGGGAATCATTGTAGGATGGGCCATGTTGGCTTATGGTGGTGGCGTTGAGGGTTAGTTGTGACATTGTGGGACGTGGCTAGTGTTGAGGAACATGGGTAGCGTTGGAGGATGAGCATGCTCTTGTAAGATGGGATGTGTCAGTGGACTGGGGTGGCATTGTTGATGGGGTTTTTCTCGTACGGAACAATTGTCAAATTAAATTCATGTATTTGTTTTCATTTATACTCTTAATACTGAACCAAAAGAGCTAGTTGTCTACTATTGAGGTACCTAAGAGGAACAATGATTGAAAGCTCATGTTGAGCACAAGAGCAAGTGTGATTTAATGAATGTTATTGAAAATTGTTGGAGCCGTTATAAATTTGATCTATTATTTTATCTACTTTGAAATTGATTGATTTTTTCTTTTTATTTTTTTATTTGAACTGTTAGATATCAGATGATTGAAGGGAGAAGGGATTTTGAATGTAGAATGTGATTTTGTGAAGAAATTATGATAGGGATTTGTGTCATTTTCTCTTTCAGAAGGCTAAGCAGTGGCTTTGAGGAACAGCTCATAGCAAGTCGAAGGGAGTTTTGTTTACTGCTAATGAGAAAAAAGAAGAAAAGGGATTTTAGTTATTTGGGCATGTGCTATGTTGCATAATGAACAATGTTAACGACAGAAAGATCTGAAGTAAGAAGTGGACAAAAGTAACCTCATAACAGTATGTGAAATAAGGAGGCGTTTAAACTAAGTGTTGAGAATGTCAAAAAGAATGAATTCCGCAAGAATCATCTTACAAAGCTATGGTGGTGATGATGACATTTTAGACTAATTATAATTCATCATAAGCCATATCAAACCTTAGTTCAAACATGTTTCATCAGTTTCTTTGATATTTGTGATTTATCTTTCAATTTATGATGACAACATCGATACATCTTCCATGCTTTTTAAATAATTTGCCTGCACAACATATGACTGAACTGTTTTCAGGTTGAAAGGCTAGCCAGGGATTGTTTCTTTTTCCTCACCGAATCAGCTCCATTTGACGAGGCAAATTTTGGTAGTTTCTCAGATTCCTGTGGGATTGCAAGGCCGATGCAGGTCTGTAGACCAATCTGTTATGCTTTTGAAATGGTTCCTCCAACTGATATCCAATTTGGGGATTATGCTGCTGCCCTTCACATGGGTCTACACAATATTTAATGAAGCTGGTAATTCTCATTTCTTGTTAAGCCAAATTTGTATGTTTAAGTAGTTCTATAGGCATTTTGGATATGTTTATGCCCTAATTTTGTACAGGGAGTCCGCTTTTCTTGTCATTATTGGTGGCTTTACTCGTTAATTAAGTTAGGCTATCTGCCTCTAGGCTTCATTAGGTTAGCATGTTTGCGTGTGTATTTATATGTACTTTAAATTTTGATTAACGATGTTTATGTTATCAATAATCACTATTTATCTCATAAACATGTAATGGTGACATCAGAGTTGAGTTTAAGCTATTTTATATTGTTTTGTTTTGATTTAAATAGGCATATGGAGTTAATTTAGTAAAATATAAAAGCATGTAACACCGTTCTACGGTTCCTAGAGGCGTTTAGGAAATGGATGTAGCGGGGATGTAACGTCCGGGTTCCGTTATTTGGAGGGAGGAGTAATGAAGAATCGAAGAAGAGGGAACGAGAAGTTGAGGGAACCAAAGGAAAAGAAGAAGACCTGAATAGTCGGAATGCCAAAGGGGGAAGGTGAAATGAGAGGGTATATGCCGAAGATATTTTTTTTTATATAAATTCACTTGTAGATGAAAAGGTAGAGGCAAGTTAACTTACTTGTAGAGTCGAGAGAAGGGATGCTGCCGGAGGAGGCATGGTTGAGTAGAGGCGTGACTCTGGGGTTTTATCGTGACATCGTCGTAAGCAGAGGAGGCGAGATGAAAGTGATAAAGACTGGTTGTTGAGGAGGCCGAGCAAGGCAAGTTGAAGAAGGGACGTACGTGTGGTGTTGGATTGAGTCGCATTTAAAGTAATAGAGGCACCACCAGTGTTGTAGAGGAGAAAAAAGGGAGCTGAAGTCGAAGGAGGAAGCATCGAGGGAGCCTCTTGCATGCGGGTAAGGAGGATCTTGCGTGAACAAAGGTGAAGATCTCGCGTGGTTTAGGGCTCGACCATCAGTTATATATAATTAATTAATTAAAATTACTCGATGTAAAATAATAGAAATTTAATACTTAAATACGAGAAAGCTAATAGTTTATTAAAATAATAAATTAATTAAATTTTTTACCATATTGATACACCTTAAAATTACTTATTTTTAATATGCATTTAATGTTCATTTTATGCACAATTTTGATTATGTTGCACTTTAAATGAATGTATTTTGCATGTTTTTGATTTCAGGTACGATGAATGAAATATTTAGAGAAAACGAGGGTAAAATGGAGCAAAATGACACATCTTATGACACCATAACGCCAGCCTTTGGCGCCATAGCGTCAGTTTGAGGACGTGATGGGTGCCATAGCGCCCTAGAGTGGCGTCGTAGCGCCAGAAATGGTTTCTCTAGAAGATGCAATGAATTTGGATGAATTTTGAAGGGGTACTTGAAGTGACCAAGTACCCCTTGGTTATTTTCAGAGTTCTATTAAATGGGGGCTTTGGAAGGGGCGAGAGAAGAGGGTTAGAGAGGCTCTAGTGGGTACATGAATTCATATTTGTTAATCTTTGGTTGTGTAAGAAGAGTTTGGAGATTGCTTGAAGGAAACTCAGGAATTGCTTGGGGAGAAGACATAAAATAAGTATTTTGTATTTGTGTTTGAGTTTTTGCTGTTAAGGCTTGATTTTCAATACAAATCATGTATTTTTGTTTTATCTCAATGAATTCTGAGTAGTTTTTTTTCTCCTTGCATATTGGAATTAATCATGTGGGATGATAATGATTTAAAAATTTCTTTTTAATTTAAAATTTATGATGATATTTTTACCGGTTCTTAATTTACTTTACAAACTGACCATTTGTACTGTTAAAATTTGTTGCAAACATAATAACTTGAGAGGGTTGTGATTTCACTCAATTAGTGGGTATCACACTTAACTTTGGAAAGAGTCATTGTGATTATCCGAGCAAAAGTGCAAATAGATAGGGAGATAAGTTTTGATGGGCGTAGAATTGATGTTTCTAAGATGACAGACTAGATTATTTTTTCAATTCAAACTTGAGTTTGAATCTAAGAGTCCCTTGTAGGTTCTATAGAGAGGACATAGTGAGTAATCTAGAAGGGAGAGGCTAGGATCTACTCAACATTATTACACAAGGTGGAACAAACTTAAGGTTAGCCAATATTTTTTGCTAGCATCGAGAGGGGGTAAATAATATATATGTTCCTATTTATCACAATACATTATTTCATATTTTAATCATTCAATTCCTACACTGATTAAGATCTCTTTGCAATGGGAAAGATCTTTTCTTAATACTTGAACTCTTTTAAACTTTATTAGTTTTTTAAACTTTGTTCTTACTTTCTTCTTAAATTGAGATTGCACATAAATTTAGTTTTAATCATTTACAAAAATTTCGACACTATTCTCCTATCATTTTTATTTACAATTTAGATATAAGTTTTTTTAAGTCATTATTAAGAAGTTACAGCTTTCCCTGTGGGTTCGATATTGAGATTTTTAAAGAAAATTCTATATTACTTGAAACGATGTGTATACTTGCATAGTACCCATAATGTAAATGCTTATTTTGTCTTTTTGAAATCATTTTATATATTCACACTAATCGCTAAATATAATTTGGGTCAAGTTTTTGGCAATCTTTTGGAGCATAAAATATCTGCGTATTGATGGTCGGGCCACATTTATTTTAGACTTCCAATTTTGAAGGAGTCGACGTTAAGACAAATTAAATAATAATTCAATCGACATCGAGGTGAGTGCTCGTACTTTTAATTTATGGTAATAGTTTTTTTTTTCTCAATTATTTTGCAGTTAATGACACTTATGCATGTTTTATTCTGATTGAGATTTTTTTTTCTTATTGGTCATATTATTATGAATTATATGTTTATGTGGATTGCTTGTATATACATAACTTACTATGATAGAGTCACCCATTGATGATACTAGTGGGGGAACACTAAAGTATCTGTGCACGTATATGAAAAAGATATTGATATTGATATGTCTTAAATAAGAATTTTTAGACGATGCTCCTATGACAATGATATTGACATGATATTGATATAGTAATTCATTTAAATAATATGTTAAATGTTTATATTGATTTATTAAAGGTTTACCTGATATATATTTTGATTTCTTTTTTCTAGTATAAGAGTATGAGTATTCACTGACTTGTTTAGTTCACAGTTACATTTAAATTATTTTCTCAGGTTAATTAAAAAATTAACGATGAGCGTTAGAAGAGTAACATTTCTAGAAGACACATGCAATCAGTAACGAGGTAATTTTAAATATATTGCTTTAATTTTAATGGCTCTTTCATCTGTAGACAAATATTGAAATTTTAATTCATATCGTCCGACTGTCTATTCCTGTATTGGTTAATTCTAAGCTCCAGGGTCACGATAGGGGAGGTGGTTGCAGAATAGCAATGGGATGAGAATATGGGAGGTTGACAATGTTTGGAAGGGGATAAGAGTCATTTGACGGTTGTCTAGGTTGAAATAGCAAAGAGAACCAAGAAATTTCGACTTTAGCAAGACACGATTATCGAGGGAAATTCCACTTTTTTCCTAAGCAAGCTATAAACATACCACTTGCAAAAAGAATTATAAAATAGGTCTCTTTGAGCACCAAATTAGAGAACCAAATCTCTCAATATACAAAACAAAGCTAAGTCTAAACAACAAATATAACATAAAAATAGTTTCATAATAGAAAATAACTTAAATTAGAAATAAAAATAGGAAATAAGGGTCCACAGGACCCTTGGCTGTGAGAAAAGGCAAGAAATCCCAAATCAGAAGCCGCTCGACTTGATTCCCACAAAGGTGAAATCCGGCAATCATGGTATTCATATCCCAATCCTCTTAGATACCGGAATCTGATTCCACATTTTACCTTCTGCGTCCTGCATCCGCACCCACAACTTTGTTGTTTCTCATTTGTACCTCCATCTGACATCATTCTCCTTAGGTAGGAGGAGCTTGGCCTTCTTCACTAGAAACTCACGATAGTCTATAAAAGACATGAAGCAAGGCTTCTTCCGTGCGTGTGCAGGACATGCGACTCTCGCTCCTGCGAGACGCACAACCCCCCCTCATGTAGGACACGCAACTCCCGCTCTTGCGGAACAAACAACTCCTGCTTCTGCGAGACGTGCGATAGCAATAGATTGAAGGGAGCGGTTCTTTGCGTGTGTCAGTTCAATCCAGTGAATCAAAGGGGCCAATTGATCCTTCCTTATTGTGGGATTGGAGCATATCTTACCCTAGTAGAATGAGTATGTTGTTTTTGTGCTTTAAGTCGGTTTTCATGTGTTTTTTTGTCAGGAATGTCGTAATCTGTATCTCGTTCTGAGATCATGATTCTCCTTCAAGGGTCAAGTGATGTTTTGGTTGTATATTGCTTTTGATGTTGTATTTTATCATCGATTTTTCCATTCTCAGCACTTTTCCATCTGACTAACTGCCGCCTTCCCAGAAACCCCACTTCCCCTTTATTCTTGTTGTCAACGCCCCTAAACCGCCTTCCTTCTCACTCCCCCCATCCCCCCCTCGTTGTCGGGTAGTGCACAACCCTCGCTCTTCACTGCTTCAATATCCGAACCCTCTGCTTCGCTGTCTTTGTTGTCCAGGGCTTCCACCTAACTGCCATCACAATTCCAGCCCCACCTTTGCAGTTTCTAGTAATCCCACATCCCATTCCAACCACCTAACACCACTCCCTGAACACCTAGCCGACCCCCCATGAATCAAACCCACCCTAGCATGAGGTTGTGTTGTGCTATTGTATTTCCCATTTCAGCTTAGTGTGTATTTGGTTATAATTGTCTATTTGATTTTTTGTAGTAATAATATTTGTGTTCCTTTTGTCATTTGGGTTAACTCAGGTATGAAGTCAACTTTGGAACACTTACGTCGTTCCAAAGTTTATTCTTTTAGAATAAATAACCATTCTTTTTTAGCATAACTAGAATTGAAATTGCATATGAGTTGGTATTCTCATGAACCAATCCTCTAGCCATCAAGTCTTTAACCTGTTTCTATAATTTCTCATACTTGATTGATTGTTTCTGGTAGGTGAGTCAGTTTGAAAGTATAGATTCTGAGATTAAGTCTATTACATGTTGACTCTCTCTAAGTGATGGCAACCTTAAAAGGTAGACCATCAATCGAGACATTTTAAAATTATCTCAGTAGGGGATGTCTTATATCTTGAACTGTTAACGATCTGAAAGTTTGGCTCGTTGTTTAGCTCGTTTTTTTCAATCCGATCTCGATCCGAGCCAAA